TTAGACAAAGTTTTAGATTATTTAATTTTACATAATTTTGTCTTTTACATCATTCAAATTAATCGAACGGTTTACGATTTACAGATGTTTAAACAAATAAATCCACTGTAATCAAATGTTTGAACCTAGAGTGTGACCATTGTTTTATGGTTTTTAATTCAACAGCATCACTAGAGATGGTGTAAGGCAATGTGTCTACATCCGTATACATGTATATATGTATATGTGCATATAATTATATTAGATTTCGTGTTAAAAATGAAAATTATGTCAAATGTCGCGCAGTATCAATCATTTTCTATGAAGCGTAAAGTCTCTTCGGGCCACACGCATATTTCTTAGTAGAGCATTGGTGGCCAACATCTTTTTAAATAACTAAATATAAAATAATTACACACACACACATATATATATATATATATATATATAATTTATTATCTTTGTTGATATTTATTTTATATACATTATACATTTTTTTCACTATATCACTGAAGATGACTCAAATTTGGACCCGAAACGTTGTTAAAATTTAATCTAGGCAGAGTTATTATTTTGTACCTTTGAAGAAGTTTGTTTTTTAATTTTTTTAAACTTTTTGTTATCTCTGCCTTTAAGGTCAATCGGAATCCTTTGTCACTCTAATGGGAAAAAGTAAGTGAAACAAAGTTTGTTCTTTTGACGACGTATACTCAAGAACTGCTGAACCGATTTTTGAAAAATTTAAAGACACTAAGAAAAGTAAAAAAATATATTGTTGACAATTTTCCTGGAAATTCCTGAATTTATATTGGAAATTACTTGATCGAGTATTAAAGTACTAGGTATGAGTGGTATTTTTCAAAACGTGAAAGAAAAATATTTCCATCTGTTTTGCTATTTTTAAAGGCCATGTGGCCGAAGGCCTTTATTTTGACCGATCGCCCAGAAAAATAATTATATTTTTAAAAATTGGTTCAGACGTTTTTCGGAAAACGTCGATGAATATTCAAAAATCTTTTTTCTCATTGTGGTCTCAAACGATTCACAATGATTTGAAACTTCGAGAAAAAAAATTAAACTTTTTTTTTACCTTCCTTAAGAAGAAGTTTTTTCTATTTTTCTAATTTTTTTTACACGGTAATGGGAAAAAGTAAGTAAAACAAAGTTTGTTCTTATGACGACGTGTTTTCGAGAACTGCTGTACCGATTTTAAAAATGTTAAAAATACTGAAATAAGGGAAAAAAGTGAGAAATCTTGCAAAAAATTCTGAATTGATTTTCAATATTTGTTTTTATATATTTTGGCAGTTAACTAGGTTTGAGTGGCACCTTGCAAAACGTGAAAGAAAATGATTTCCAATTTTTGATATCTTTAAAGAAATGGCTCGACCAATCGTCGAGAAATTTATATCACATTTTTAAAATCGATGCAGCCGTTGTGGTCCCAAACGATTCAGAATGACTTGGAACATCGAGAAAACATGAATCTACAAATCGACTTTTTTGGCGGAAAGTTTAAGTAATAAATATATTTAAATAATAAATAAATAAAATAATGGGTAGTACTGTCCTAGGTCAGGTCCATGAGCTGAGTTAAACTTTATCTTAATTAAGAAATTTCTCATTGCCATTTCACACCGCAGTGCTCAAATAAAGGCTAATTTCAATTGGAAACATATTTTTGTTTTATATTTTTAAGTGAAAATTGATATCACTGCTTCCTGATATCAGTCAGGTTATTCAGAGCGTGGGTTGGAACTCACAAACCTGTTCACACAAGGCAGTGCGCTTAACTGTTACGCCACCTTTAATTAACACCTTTGATTTAATTTAAATTGATTTGAATTGATTGATTTAAAATAATCAGTTTTAAAATAAAAATAAAATTATTGATTTAAGTGTTATTTTTTTTAAATTAATTAATTTAATTTCTAAAAATATTACCAATTACAGTGAAGTACAGAAAAGTTATATGAACAATTAAAACTGAAAATAAAACATTTTTGTTTTGTGAGGCCCAAGGACCAAACATTGATGTCAAATGCTTTTTGAAAAATTAGAAACTCGAAAAATATAATTAAATGTCTTTGCATTCTTAGAAGACGCCAACAAACTCCAAATGGAGGAAGAAACATGTGTTATTAAAATATTTTACTATATATATATATATATATATATATATATATATACATATATATATATATATATATATATAGCAGAACCCCGTTAATACGACCATGCTATACAAAATTTCCTGCTTATTACGCCACATTACGTCGGTGCCTTGCACCTCAAAACATATTGTACAGATTTATGCATTTATTCATTATATCTCTTGTAACTTCTAAACCATTCGATTAATATGAATGATGCATCAGATGAATTTATAGAAATTAAATATTAATAATAATTAATATTTACAATACTGTTTAATATTATATAGCCTTTAAGCAACTCCGTATACTTCAAAATTGCATTCAAAACTGGAACTATATTAAACATACATTGCAGGTTTGTGCATTCATTTATTATATCTCTTGTAACTTCTAAAGCATTCGATAAATATGAATGGCGTGTATGATAAACTTGTTCACAATAAAATACTTTATGATTTTCCCAAACATCAAAAGTCCCTACGGAAACTCGGTATACTCTAAGATCGCGCTTAAACATAGGCGAGTAATTTGGAGGTGCTAAATGTGCTTTTATTTACTAAAGCGTTTATAAAGTGTAAACCATTCGATTAATGTGAATGATGTAAAAGGAAAATTTATTCAAAATTGTATAATCTACAAAATTGTCTAATATTATAATGCCCTACAGCAACTCGGTATACTTTAAAACGTTCTGCAAAAGTCTCTAAAATAAGCCTTTACGTTATATTAGTTCATTTTAGATGGTACTTTATTCAAGTAATTTTAAATATATTTTATACTAGCCAAAATTTCATCAGTTTTAGTATTTGCTGTCAAAGTAAACATATTAACAAATAACTTATCCAAATTACAAGTCTGTAGTACAAATGGTGCATCCTGAAGAGCTCTTCAAAAACGATTTTACTTCTACACCTTCTCAAATTAATGTGAGAGCTTGTATCAAATTTATTTAAAAAAAACTGTAAAAAAATTAAAACAAATTTTATCAATTAAATTTTTTTATTTAAATAATTTCATATAAATAATAATTTTATTTTAATATTTATAATAATAATTAGGTTTTAAACAGTCTACGACGAATTTATTTCTAACACACTTACGTTTCATTAAGGACATTTTGACCATCATAAGTAAACATTTATTTTACAATTTTTTTTACCATAATTCTAGTTTTCAAAATCTATTCACACCTAAAGATGGACAAAATTCATTTTCGAAACGTGTGTGCAACATTCATACAACCACACGATTCGATTACAGTCTTTGACCATCACTGTTTTCAATTTTTAATATTTTTTTACAACTTTATCCTGATGATGGCCAAAAACTGGTTCTCGAAACGTGTCTATATAATTTTTCAGTAGTACATCTTATTGTTAGTTATATCTAATATATTAGTTATATATTATTTTATCATAAATAACTTATTTCTAATATTAATTTTAAATTTAATGAACAGTTTGTGTAAGCCCTGATGATGCTTAAATTATACACAGAAACGTTTTAGATTTACACTGGGCATGTGATTAAAGAAGTTTCACTTCGTTTAGAGTTAGTTGTTATAGTTTTGCACAAATGGATGTCTACAATTTCAAGTATCGACGTTGTCAATATGTTGACTGCGCATTTTGTTGAGTTAAGAAGTTTTACTTCAAGATTAAAGGTTTATTTTAAGTTGATTGGTGCACTATGATCCCAAACGTCGATTTTGCCAGTTTTTATCTAACAATATCCATTGGAAATTAGGTATATACAGTTTTTTTGTCATCATCCATCGATTTGTTAGATAATATCCTACTATTTTGAGCATTAAGAAGTTTCACGGCACATTTGACATATTTTCTTACGCAGATTAGTGAACCATGATGTCAATTGTTGAATTTCCAAGTTTTTTTGTAAAAATCTCGATTACAATTAAAGTATTTACAGTCACCATCAGTCAATTTGTTAAACAAAATTTTTCTGTTTTGAGCATTAAGAAGTTTCACTTCACATTTGACACATTGTTTTGCGCAGATTAGTGAACCAAGATGTCAAGTACCGACTTTGCCAGTTTTTTTGTAGAAATCTTCATTGCAATTAAAGTATTTACAGTGTTTTTGCCATCAGCCATCAATTTGTTAGACAATATCCTTCTATTTCGAGTATTAGGAAGTTTCACTTCACATTTGACACATTGTTTTACGTAGTTTAGTGAATCATGATGTCAGCAACAGGCAGACGAAAGTATTTATTGCAATAATTCAGCATACGTTACCATGATGTCAAGTGTCGATTTGCCGAGTTTTATTGTAGAAATCTTTATTGCAAATTAGGTATTTACAGTGTTTTTGTCATCATCCATCAATTTAGTAGACAATATCTTCCTGTTCCAAGATTTAAAAAATTTTCTCCAGCTACCATAGTGACATATAAAACCATGATTGATGACTGGGCAAAATTTAGTCACAAATTGCGTTTTTGAAGTTTTACTGAAATCCAGTCAGGTTTTGATACTTAAGAGTCTATTAAAGTTTTACTTCAAAACCATGTTGTTGTTTTTGGAACAACAAGGGAATATTGTAGCAAGAACATGGACAATCAATGTTATCACAAAAATTTTGATGAAATAATCGTAAACTCTATATTGTGCCACAAATAGTTGGTTAACCTGGTCCTGAATTGGTAAATTGTGAAGTTTTACTCTAAAAATTTAAACCAGGAATAGACCAATAGCGTTGATTGATGCATTGGATCATTAGGCATCTTTGTTTAGGCAAAAATTTAGGTCAATAGATTTTTAAATATTGTCCTCGAGCTGAAGGTCTAATTTGTATCTATTATTGATAATCTCCTACAGAATTATCCTTTTTCATCCTATTGCCATCAATCTATCGACTGCGGACTATGCCCGCCCATCATATGATGATGATGATGATACGATGAAGATCCCGTTGGACTATGAGCCGAATAACTATCCAAATCCAAGTCTCCAGCTTCAGAACAATTACCAGATTTATCAACTCCCCCTACGGACGTTGCAACACCTCCAGACTCCTGCTTCAACATCATCCTGCGCCACTTGGCACGAGCATTTTGGAACCAAACCTGCAAAAAAAATCACAAGTCAGGTGATGATGTCTAAGATGGCGATTGTGATTTTGGAGCAGGATTTGTTTTGTCTTTACCTGTAGGACGCGTTTGGGTAATCCTGTTTTCTGGGATAGTTGCTTCAGGTCTTTTGCGTCAGGGTTGTGGTTTATGGCAAAATAGGACTTCATGGTTCGTAATTGGTGGTGTTTGAAGGATGTTCTCATTCTTTTGGTCCTGGATGATCCGGAGCCGCCTGATGGTCCGAATGCTGCTAAGTCTAAGTATTCTGTGTTCAAATCTGCAAGGGAAAAAGAAAAAGCTTTGTTAGTTATTTAGATACATGCATTCTTAAATTTTTGCTCTGGATTTTTAACATAATTTTTAATTGAAAATTTTTACATTTTTCGGCGTTTTGAAGGTTTCTAAACATTTTGGCATACCTCATGGATGTGTGTGTGTGTATGTATGTATGGATACAAATTTTTAGTCACGTTTTCGGGCGCACGGATCAACCGATTTGAATGATTCAAAAAACATTCGATTCCTATTGATAGGGAGAAGAGCTGATTAGTATTTAGCAAAGGCAGGTCCAGCCGTTTCGGAGATACGGGGCAAAGAGTGCAGAAAATAGAAATCGAGTTTTTGAGAGAACGATTTAAATGATCTAAAAAACATTCAATTAGTAATGATTGGGAGAAGTGTTTATTAGTTTTTGGCAAAGGCAGGCTCAGCAGTTTTTGAGAAAACTAAGCGTCCGATTTGAATGATTCAAAGAACTTTCTGGTTGTCTTAACAAAATAATTGATTTTGGAAAAAAAATTTTGTTTCAACTTTTTTTTTTCAAAAAAAATTTTTTTTGTATATCGAAAATAATTCAGATTTTACTTTTAATTCTGACTATAGTTCTAACCTACTTTAAACAAATAATTTCTACTTTGCAATTCAGTTTACATAATTCTTATAAGCATATATATACTCTTCTTTTATCTATTCTTATAAGTATTAGACAATATTACAATATTAATAATAATCTATTTGAAAACATTCAGTATTCCTCGAACATTACGTTACGGTACGGGAAGTTCCAGAAATTTGCCTCAAGGCACGATGCCATACACCCCACTAGTTAAATCTGCATTAGGATTTTTTTTAGATCATTAGATTTAGCTTCAAATGCTTTAATTTCTGGATTATTAGATCTTTAGATTTTTTTAAATATAGATTTTTGTTTTTTTTTTTTTAATCCAATTTTAAGCCAGTATATTTTGATGATTTTTTGATTATCAAAAATCCAAAAATTTTATTAATTTATAAATTTATATCAATTTAAAATTATTCCAAGAACAAATGAAACAACTGACGTAAATCAATAGACGACAGTAGGTTTTGCGGAATAATTTAGAACTTTATTGTTTTATAATCTTTCTCACGAAATATTTTTTTTTATATTTATAAAGATTTTTTTTGGGTAGACCACATTGTAAAGGGTGGAACCTTAAAATAAAAGATATATATATATATATATATATATATATATATATATATATATCCACATAGAGTGTTGTAAAACAATAAAGCAATCTTTTTTCGAAGAATCGAACAAATGACTTTTCCTCGGCTCGTGTTATAAAGTTGTAATTCCTTTTATTTTTTACGACCGCCATTTTATGGCACCATGAAACCCCGCAGGCGGACATTTTGTTCTTTATTTATACCACGGTTAAGATTTTTGCGGTTTGTGATCATAAACATCACGAATTAGAGATGTATATATTACCTAATCCTGCAGTCATGGCTTCCAAGTCCTTAGGCTTCCTTTTCCTAGGCCTGCCTTTCTGCCTGGGCACAGTACCACCTGCAGGTACTCCTCCTGGTCCCATCTGTGGGTTGGTGCCGCCAAAGAATGTACCAGCACCAGCCAGACGTTCGTTGGAGGGCATCATTGGAGGTATTCCTCCAATTCCACTAAGAATTGGTGAGTCTGGTCCTGGATGGGGTGATGGATCACTTGGGTAAGGCAAGGGTACCATTTGGTCGTGGTGATGGTAGTGTCCTGGTTGCATGGTTGAATCCAACATCGAAAGAGAAGCTTCGTAGTGGAGTCTAAGGATAAAAAACTAAATTAGTTACGGTTGCCAGGATTTTTGGGGGTTGTCTTTTATTACCTGCACAAAACCATGGAATCTCTCATCCCGTACTGATCGCCTTTTGTCAAAGGTGTTCTGCAAGTTGCACAAGCAAAACATGCAACATGGAAAACTAGATGGCGTGCTCTCATCACCAGCTCTCGACTGGAAATTGGAGCCATACAACCAGAGCATCTTCTACTAGAACTTAGGCCACCTGGTATGTTATTGTTGTTCAAGCTTGACTGGTGCTGAGACGACGCACTGTTGCAGTAAATTCTGGAAAATTTGAGGAATATTAAGGAAATTGATGGTGACCAATTGTCTATTTTCAAGACCTTGTGCTCAAAAGATTTTGTTTGCGTGTTGTTATCAAATATTATTAGCAAGTTATTTGAATAAATGCATAATTTGCATTGTCTACATAGTTTTGCACGCGAGTGTTACGTAATAGGTTCTTTCAAGGTTCCGTATCATCAATTTTTATTGATATCGACATGCATTGTTACGTAATAGAGTGCATTTTTTTAGTTAATTATAAATAGTTGAAAAAAACAATGATTTTAAACGATATAAATATATATTAATCTAATTATAATTCATCCAATCCAAATTGTTTTAAATTGTGTCTGAAATAGATGATTTCATCTAAATTTAGATACTTTTATCTGTTTCTTTGTATTTAATTCGATGAACTCGTCATATAAAATTAGTATTCATTTTTTTTTCACTGAAGACGTTTAAAATTTAGTTTTGACTGACAAAAACGGTTTCTAAGAATCTCAAAGGAGAAGCTGAGAATTTTATCTCGGATCTTAATTTGTTTTAGTTGCATTCTTTCGTTTCTTAACCGAAAAAAGACATCTTAAATTTAAATACATATACATTTATATTATTCCGTTTATTACACACCTCTATAAATCCACTGTACTATTAATAGTTGCAAAAAAAGAATTAATAATTTATGCACTAAATCTTTTGTGACGTTTGAACCACTTGATTAATGTGGATGGTGTATTCTAGGTGTTTGTACAAAATTCAATAATTTACAATATTTGGTGCCATTTTTAACTCTACAACATCTCGGTATATTTTAAAATAGATTCGGTATACTCTTAACATTGTAGTGAAAGTTGCAACTGATTCGTGTATTTGTTTGCTAAATCTGTTATATCTTGGAAGCCAATCAACTGACAAATTTATATAAAATTGAACAATTTATAACCTAGTTCAATATAAAAACCGTATACAGCAATTGGCATACTCTAAAATTACATTAAAAATTAGTATATCAATTTGATTTCACTAACTTTACAGTGCGTTTATTTACTCTAGCTCTTGTAATTTTTAAACCATTCGAATAATATGAATGATGTTTTTGACAAGTTTGTACAAAATTAAATAATCTGTAATATTTTCTAATATCGAAAAACTCTGCGACAGCTAGGTATACCCATAAAACACTTCCAAAAATCTAATTATGCTTTGATTGTAATTGTTGGTCTTATAGGACATCCTTGTGGTGCACCAATAGCAATCGCGTTCCCAACGTGAAAAATGCAATATGTAAAATTTGAAATATTGAAGTATGCATATGCAAAATTTGTTACAAATTTTGCTTTGGAATAAAAAATATTAATACTATTGTAACCAAAAATGGACCCATAAATTTTATTTTTGTTAATCACTTTAGTAACCTTAGGGACCCCAAACACTTACAACAATTTTGATACAATTTTTTTTATATAAAAAAATATTAATACTGTTGTAACCAAAAATGTGCTAATAAATTTTACTCTGGTGCCCTTAGGGGTCCCACAAGCCCTTAACATTTTGCGCCTACAAGTTCACCCAGATCATGTACAATTTAATTAAATCGTCGAAACCAAAAAAAAGTGTTAATTTTAATTTTTTTCACCATTTTTTTTTATTTTGTTCGTCCGAATGCCAGCACGTTCCCGACAAGAAGGTGTCAAGTTACATGTCGTCTTGTTATCAAAACTTGTCATCCTGAGGTCATAAAGAACAGAATTTTAACATCTCATATTCTTCAGAATAATAACATAACTTAAGATTTTAAAAGAAAAAAAAATGGAAAAAATATAACAAGAATTAAAGCGAGGATGACTCGTGCACTGAAGGTCTTGGGGCCCAATGACTCTAGGGGTCTGTGATATTTTCAAGATATTTAAATTATCTAAAACTTGTTCTAACATTATAATCAAGTAAATGAAAATTTTTACATATCTTTACGTTTCAAGACCTTTTGAACATTTTGCAAAAATGACAATTTATGATTTTTCATATGTATTTATATATGTATATGTATTTACACATGTATATATATAAGTATATGTATATATACATATATATATATATATATATATATATATTTATATACATATATATGTATGTATGTATGTATTATGTATATGTATCCATCTAAAAAAAGTGTGAACATGATTTTCCCACAAGGAAACATTGCATTATAATTGCGGCAGAAGTATCCTGTCAGCATTTAAATCTGTTATTTGTTACAACCCTGCTGTGAATGACAAATACACACCCCTTGTTCAAAATAGAGACCCACATTTTGGCAAATATATATATACAAGTTTTTCTATCTACAAAAAGGGGACCCTCCCGCTGTGCGCCAATGGTATTATGGTGAATAGAATTGTTGGATAACGAGATATGCATTATGGATTTGTTTTTGTAACGTTTCGATATGAGATTTTTGCATCTTCAGGGATTTTGGAAAATTTTGTAACGTTTTGGTTTGAATCTTCGTAGGGTTAACTTTAAGAGGAAAGTTGAAGTTGAAGTAAAATTTTGATGGTGTTTCAGGTTTCGATATTATTTTTTGTGTAAAAATATTGGTTTTAATGATGTAGGATATTAGAAGAAATTTTTGGGAATTTATTTATCTAAAAGTTATCTAATTATACAATTTAGATTAATCCAGTATTTTATGTGCTATAAGTAGTACTTCAAGTCACATTTTGTTACATTTAGTACTATATCTCGTAAATTATTAAATTTATCTAAACAATTTCTTTAGATAATTTTTTAAATTATCTACATCTTTTCGAAATATTATAAACTTGTAGCTTTGTACTTTCATATAAAAAAAAATTTTGAACCATGATTAGAGTTCAAGAAAACATAGAATTGTAGTTATTGGCAAAAATCTATATGCAACATTTCTATCGCAATTTTAGAGTATACGGAGTTGCTGTAGAGCATAATAATGTTGGACAATGTTATAGATAATTGTGTATAAATTTTTCTAATACATCCTTCATATTAATCGAATGGTTGAAGATTTATGTACAATTTTATAACAAAATGCACTTAATAACTCTTTGAAATTAATTTTTACATTTGTGGCTTGTTTAAAGTATATAGAGTTGCTTTAGGGTTTTTTCTACTGTTAGACAAATATTATAAACAATTTAATTTTGTACAAATTTCTCTAATACATTATTCATATTAATCGAATGGTTTAAAAGTTACAAGAGATGTAGTAAATAAATATATTAACTTAAAATACTAACTTAAAATTTTTGTTTCAGGAAAAATGGAGAGCTGAGAAATCTAACAGAAAGGGTAAGTTTTTTATAGATTTATTATATATATATATATATATATATATATATATATATATCACTTTTTACCTCATAGGGTTGGTTTCAAAAAGGTAACACCCTTTGCATCATTAAAAAGGGATGAAAACACATCAATACGTATACAGATTTACATGAACTTGAAGGGATTTTTAAGACATTTCTAGTCATCGTACAATATTACATTATAAGACAATATTTTAGATAAATTTATCATCTACACATTATCCAAAGACAATATTTAGATAAAAATTCTAATTGTCCTAAATCATACTTCGTAATTTAAACGAACTTCTAAGATACATCTGATCAACGTACAAATTTAAGTTATTAGATGACATTATAGATAATTTTATCATCATATTATCTAAAGACAGTATTTATCTAAAATTATTATTTTTTTAGTTATTGCATAAATACACAAAAATTGTCTTGATGGGTAACAATGGCTACTAAATTGCTCCTTTATATATTTATTTATCGAAATTATTATAAGTTAATATTATAGATAATTTTATTATCTATATATTATCTGGAAACAATATTTATCTAAAATTATTATTTTTTTAGTTAAGGCTAAAATTATGTATTAATCGTTTTCAAATGAACTTATAATGCGTTTATCAACATAGTACAAAATTATATTATTAGATCATATCATAGATAAATGAATTATATATATTTTAATTTAAGACAATAATTATCTAAAATTGCTTTTTTTAAGCTATCGCACAAATAGTCAAAAATTGTTCTAATCCATACTGCGTGGTTAAAATGTATCTTTTGTATGAAGTAAATGTGATAAAATTGTTTCTAGTTTCTAGTTTCTTGATTATGAAATTGTTAATTAATTAATGCTATTATTAATGAAGATTGTTGTAACATATACTTGTATCTATATGTGTGTGTATATATATATATATATATATATAAATATGTATATTTATATATAGGTATAAACAAGATTTTTACCTAGAAATAATGGCACGCGCTCTTGGATTTATCTTTCTAGAAATCTCCTTTCATATACACATAAATATAAATATGTATATATATATATATATATATATATATATATATATATATATATATATAAGGCCACGTCCTAAGAAAACGTATCATAAAATGTCATAATTCATATTTCAAAAAACAAGAATAAAAATTTGCACGGAGCTACTTGAAGAGAAGAAATACGTGCTCGACAAGAGTATACACCCACGACATTTTCTCCGATTTTAAGGAAAGATTAAATATTTTAATATATATATATATATATATATATATATATATATATATATATATATATATATATATATATAATAAGTAGTAGCCTGCTCGAAGGCAGGTCCATGGTGCGAGAGCCTCCACAAATAAATGATTCCCATACCCTTCGTCTATCATTCCCATTATCACTACTTCTCTCCTCTTTTTTTATGCATTTTCTTTTCCAAACTTCTGCATCCATGCTTCCTGATCCTGTTTGCGCTTCGGTTTTCAGTTCCCTGTATTTTTTCTTTTCGCGTAAGTCGTCAATAGTCTGCATTCTTCTTTTTCCCATTTCATTAAGTTCTTCTATTTTACCCTCGACGACGTCGTACATAATGCATTTTTGCAGAATGGGTCCGATCCAGTTTCCTTTTCTTTTCAGGATTGTGCTTAGTAGAGTCCTTTCTTCGTCCAGGACTTCTTCATTTGTTATCTTGTCAGTCCACTTTATCTATTATCTATTCCTTGGAGTAGTTATCATATTATATACAATTAGTACTATGATTGGGTGTAACCCCTTACACCTCACCCTTTTCAAAAAAAAAATAAGAAAAAAATGTACGCTAAGTCGGAACTTTTTCTGAACATCTTTATATACATATAAATAATCTTACTTATGACAAAATGCTTGTCAATTACGCAGGGCAGGATGCGAAGACATCCATTAGCCCACAAACTTCTTTTTTCGGCACAAAGCCTATTTACGCTTAAAGTTAGACAAAAACTCTATTTTCAATTGCAATATTAAAGTATATCGAGGATATATAGAGACTTATGTTGTTAGAAAAGTTTGTAGATTATTTAATTTTAAACAAATTTGTTAAATACACCATTTATACTAATCGAATGGTTTAAGATTTATGGGCGATCAAGGAGACCTTTAGAGCACAAGGATACATTTTCTAGGTTTAGACGCGATTTTGAAGTACCCGAGTTATTTTAGATTAGACATTATTGTAGATTATTCAATTCTGAATAATTTTGTGCATATATATATATATATATATGTATATTTGTATATATTCAAAGGCCCAGCTGGACTTTGTATAGTGAAGAGGGTTGCGGTTCGACACCCCGCAGAGACGACATATGTTTCCCGTTTTTTTTTGACAATATGTCAAAATATATCCGTAAATATATATGTATATATATATATATATATATATATATATATATATATATATATATATATATATATATAGTCCAGCAACTCGGTATACTCTGAAATCGTTGTGAAAACTAATAAATTAATCCCAGTTGATAGTTGATGCAATTCAATATTATTAAGGTCATAACTTCTGCATTTACTATCAAAATATGACCTATTTAAGCTTTTTTGATAGATAATTTTATCTACTTTAATCTTTCCTAAGACTAAAAATATCTAAGTGTCTCAGATAAAAAAATATTTTCAAAAATGTGTCCATTACGCAACATCAACCTGGACCGTGGGTAAATCTCACAATTACCCAACAATTAATTAATTAACTAATTTACCAACTACTCCATACAGCATCCTAATTAGGACCCAAAAATTCCTTTTTTCAAATCTCACAATAAAATTTACTCGGTTCTTGGTAAAAGTCGAGCATCTCCATCTAATTAGATCTTCTCGTCAAAATTATGACCCCGAGATTGAAATCTCGAAGAAAAAACTGTTTTTTATTATATAAGTAACATTTAAAATGTCGACACGAACTTTTTTGATGTACTAACACCTGTTTTGACACCTAATTACAAGACGAAAATAATATTACGAAATCCTAGTAAAATATTATGATTAGACTAAAAAGAACAAGGGGTCAGGTGTAAGAAATTTTGGGGTCAATGAGGTAAAAGTTGGTTGAAATAATTATTTTGGGGTCCATGAGAAATTCATCTCAGGCACTAATTATTTTACACGAAAGTTATATAAGATTTAATGAGGATATTAACCCTTTCCACTCGCTAATTCCGAAATTTATATGAATTTTGCATCCGAGTGGGGTTTTCTAAGTATAACGAGTTGTTGTGGAGATTTTTGTTACTAGACAATATTTACAGTATTTAATTTTGTATAAATTTCCCGAAA